AACTTGAGTATGGTTCATTTTGTGAAAATGTATCTAGGGAAGCATAATAATAAAATATTCAAAGTGAAATTACGTCTATGTTTCATAGTACCATAAACACATACCTTCAGTTAGAGAGGGTGATCTTTTCTTCCAGGAGTGGTCGTGACACGTTTCCTCTCAACAGCCTAAATGGATAAAACAAATCAATTAATATACAATCTATTTGCTATATTTTTCAAAATTGTAGTATATTTTTCGATAGACACTTATTTTACTTCACCAACCTTTGAAAATAGTTCGTGCAAAACTGTTTTATACAGTCAGGGGACTTAAATATACGTCAGTCGGCAAAATTCTCATAGACTTGCATGCTATTTTAGTGTAGCTATGTAATTTTCATTAATTCAGTTTTCCATATTTGGTTGTCAAATTATGCAGGCTGTTAGGAAATAATCTTGGTCACAGATACATAATTTTCCGCATTGTAGTTACAAGAGCAACATATATACAACATTGCGTATTCTTTCCCCATAGACCGCCATGTTAAAAATTGCCATAACCATGACACGCATTGAATTGAAAATAAAACGGAAATTATGTCTTTGAAGCTGAGATGATTCAGAACCCATGTGCAAAATATGAACAATATCAAATGGATATCAAATAAATTCAAGACATATTTCTAGCTGCACCAAATTAACATGTAAGTCGAATAATGCATAGTGGCGAATACCTATGGCCGCTGGCTGTAATTCGATAGATTAGCTTGTTTACCAATCCGGATTTTCTGTACGTAAAGTAAATAATTCATAAAACGTTATTTGACAACAAAACAAATTGGTCTTACCTGACAGGGTCGTGGTACTGCGAGTTTTTCGCAGCCATTTCCATCTTTCTTTTCCAGGTAGCGAATTCTCTCTTTCAGTGCTTTGAGGAAAACTGAGGCGGCTTTGAAAATCGCGACTCGCAAAGGCTCACGGGAAAAACACTTTGTTGTTGTTTTTCAATCTAAATCTAACATTACAGTTTGACAATATCTTTCCGCGTTATACAACCAAATAAACATACACTATACACATAAAATGTCAGCTGTGTGTTTTTATAATGGTTTAGGTAGTCTCGCGTGGACGGGATCCGGTCGCCATTGTTTTATTTGTTTACATTGCCGACATCAAAGGGGACCGTGAAAGGTGGAAATGAGCAGATTGAATGTGAGTACCCAACAGTGGGCTTGTATGGGCTTAAGGGTCTTCTCATCGCATTATGGGCACTAATTGCTCCTCCTCAGTGTCAAGCATCAACATGTAGGCCTAGAGATAATTAACAGTGAATAAATCTGAAAACATATTCACGTTACTTTAAAAGTCCTCATCGAGCTCCATGGGTCCTACTCATGAGAGATTGTGTTAGTGGCAAATAGGTGATTTTCAAAACCCTGTCAGGAGTAGGCAATATACGTTCTGCTGGACGTAAAACTTCACCAGGTAAGTAATTTACCTATTGAGCTCAAAACATGCACATGTATTAGACATGCTTATATCATGTTCATTCTTTTCAGTTCTACACGTAGATCTACGTACATTCCCTGTATTATAACTTTACTTATCTAATTATATGTGATGTCAGCTCAATATATCTACGTGAGCGAGTTTAGTATTACGCCGCACTCGGCAATATTCCAGCTATATGGCGGTATTTATCCAATTATACCAGTACATCTTTTTTATCATTTTATTACCATTAAAACAATTATGACATATACTTTACACTCATAGCTTTGTGTAATAATTTAGGTAATCAATTATTGAACCTCTTAGCCTTACAATGCATTGACACAAGTCACGTATAACATTTCTAAAAGAATCATTGTTCCAATTATTTGATTTACAGATACGTATTGTGGATCCACTGACTTGTTGGAGATTGACAAGAGGCTTGGCTTGGTAATCATTTATAGTTACACCATACCATGCTCCTAATTTCATTAAAGGAAATCTTAAAACAATATTTTTTATTCATCAGCATTTTGTCAAAAACAAGTAAACACTAAATAGATACATAGAATAAATTTCTTTATCTTTGTGAAAAATATAATCACTCAAAATGTAACAGTGCGTGGATTCCAGTGTAACCATAAGTTTAACATATGTTATATATGGGATTACACTTTCATAAGTTAAGATATGTTGATATGTTTTCAGTTCCAAGAAAAGACCCAGTTTTCTGTCCGCACTGCCAGTCGTTTGTTTCAAGGAAACAAGGAATCGCCTGGAATGGACGGCAGTTTCTCATCAGGTTAGTCCAAAATACTTCACTTCATAGGTTTCATTTAACGACTTCAGTTTGATCTATCCCATTGCTATCCATCATATATCAATAATGAATATATTTAATTATTGTAATTTGTTTGATTGGCATTTAGAAGTTGGTGACAAATAAGAAAGTAAGAGAGTTTATGGATAACAACTTCTTTATTATATATGATGCGACGTTTCGGTATGGATTCTTATACCGTTGTCGAGCAAGAGTGTAATTATTGTATACCAGATATGTAACTGTAACTGAAAGTGAATAAGTTGTGTTACACATTTTACAGTTTTAAATTAAATTAAAGGTCACATAAAAAATAATATTTTATGTTACTATATTGCTGGGAATGTTTCCTTAGAGAGTTGATAAAACTAAGAAATACCCACGATTTTTCATTCATGGGAAATGTTAGGTTTTGTATGCTTTTCTCAGTTGAGTTGGTCATTTCAATTTGAATAAGATCACATATATAATTATGTGTTACATTCAGTGTTTAAACATAATTCGTATCTATTTAAAATATGTATGTACCGTTTTACATATGCTTCGATTTCAATTGGCGATTTGGTAGTAGATGTTACCTTGAATATGAGTACAGTAACAGTAATAAATATTACAACAATTTGCTTCAGAATACTGGGTTGGCTGCTATTTTCTGGTACCAGTCAATAAAATAAGTGACATGTCAAATGGAAGATACAATATACATGTATACTACATATCTTTCCTTTGTGATTGTGAAAAAAATATTTTGGTTACATATACAAATTAGTCGTTCTAATTATATGATTTCATTGTGATCAGATGTACCACTGTGCATGTTTATGAATATGTATAAATGTGTTACTTTGGCTGTTTTTGCAGTTTTACTAAGCATTGTATGTATTGTATTTGCAGGATGATGAAGAGTCTGTGTGGGATGATAAGGATGGCAACGATGTTGTGCCAGACATCAACCAGGACTCTTCATATTCACCCACAAATCTTACGTAGAGGATACACCATCTGTTTGCGGTTGTGGACTGGTTCAAGCCTTGTTGTAATCAACTTGGTTATATTTCCCCTTTCTGTGTGGCAAAACTCAGGCTCAACTCAAGGCTCTGCGTCATATGTACCACATCAGAGGATTGTTGGCTGCTCAGTGTGAGTGCAACAGAAGCTTCATGGTTGTAAGCAAGTTGCCAAGTCTTTACTATGTGAGATTGTTAGTGTGTATATGTTAAGATACATTGAGACAGCTTCAAATGTACAATTCATGTATATGTATATGGGCCCATGACCTTTCATACAATAAACATTTGAATTTGAATTTGAAATCTGTTTTATAAATACCACAGCAAATATGTTATCCCGCACTAGTAGACCTCATTTCATCATATGCATAAAATGTTGTAGGGTTTTGACATATTTGTATTTGCATATTCATACAGAATTTGTTTTCTCCAATGCTGAAAATTCCCTTTTGATATGGGCATACATGCATGCATGCATGTATGCATGTATGCATGCAGACAGACAGACAGACATTGTTGAGTACTGTTGAAATGTGAGCTATTCACAATAATGAAACAGATGAATCATAACAGTGCATGTGTCACTGTGTTTGTTGTTTTTCGGGTACAATGTAATAAATTGTACATTCACAAGTTATGCAGAATGGTAGTGAGTGAGTTGCATAGTCCCATCGGTAGCCATATCGTGACTATGAAAGTCGTAACTCTAAATTTGTAAATGTGTACATGAAATAAAACAAACTTATATACTTACCTGTCTTCGAAGGACAGTAAAATAACTAATCTATCACAAATGTACACTAAAAACTGGCATGTAACCATAAACACTTTACCGGTACAGTATAAAAATGAGCTATAGATTGCCAACACCTGAAGGTTGATCAACATACTAGGGACTACGGCACGAACAGTACTTTTGCTTCCTGCATTGACCCTAACTGGATTCTGTAAACAGAAACTATCTTGCAAATGTAACAATAAGTAAATATAGTCCCCCAATGGAACAGCACAAAGTTTGCCATTTCATCTAAGCTGAAACCAACAGAAACCTAGCGGAAACCTACATTACCCAGTATCCAATAGGTTTCCGCAATAGCGGAAACAAAGTCATTTCTCTTTGAATGTTTCAGCGAACTGAAACTAAATGGAAACACATAATGATAGTTTCAGTTGTAGAAACCTGACGGAAACCTAGATTTGTTAGTTTCAGTTTTGTAAACTATGCGGAAACTCGCATTGTCTGTTTCCGGATACTGAAACCTAGCGGAAACCTACATTACCCAGTATCCGTTAGGTTTCCGCAAAAACGGAAACTAAGTTATTTTTGCTGTGCTAGTCGTTAAATGACAGTTTTGTTCATTCAAAAAAGCAAAGATTATGATTATTATTTGCCAGTTGTTAAACAATGTAAGGTTTGGCTCTGATTGTCATTTGTTGGCATTATGATCATATCTCATATAAGAAATCGAAACGGACAGAACCGAAGGTCTTGTACTGCAATACGTCCCGTACGGTGGTAAGAGCGTAACTAAGTGAAAAATACCTGGTTCATCGTGAAGAAGTTCAGATTCACAAGTAGAAAGAAACAAGCCACAAACACACACATTGGAAGAGATAAATGTTGTTGGGCTTTTAAGTGTATATCTTACTCTTTATTTATTACTTTTAGAATTTGCATCACTTGATATGTTCCAGATTCATCTGTCGGGTTCAGTCGTCACACTGCAATGGCAAGGCAGCCTCACTACATCATCGCCAGGTATGAAAAACATCGGGAAAATCGAGGTGTGCCAGCAGGTGTCTCAGAAAGGCTTCCTGCAACGCCTTCAACTTCGGGCTACCGTCCATGGGCGTGGTCAGATGCGAGATGCTGGCTGTGGCACATGACCCTGTCAGTGATGCATCCTGGAATGTGTATACGATCAACAGTGTTCAGTGTCCTTCAGACTGAATGTGTGTATACGATCAACGGTGTTCAGTGTCCTTCAGACTGAACGATTTGAATATGAAAAGTTTTTTTTTAAAATACTGATGTACGTAACCGTTCCGTACCGAAGGGCTGCATTGCCGTTTACTAAGTGCCGGCGCCTGGTACTTTTTCTAACTGTACTAAGGCAGTTTTAAATCCCAACACTGAAATACAAGTAATCCCTACCGTCAAGTGAAGACTCTGCAACCCGCCGCTCTGTGATTTTTCCGGGATGTACCAGGCTGGAGTTAATACGGATATGGACCTTACGAGGATGTACCGGGTACTTTGTGGCAGATATGGCGAACAATAAACAGGCAGACAATGTAACTCAGTAAGTCTGTTGATCACAGTCCTGTTCGCTATAGAAGCTTTTAGTTTACTGTTTCAAGTCACTCCAAACAGCTTTCCCAAATCCATGAAGATCCGAATAGGTATTCATGTTCAGGCGTTAAAACAAACGTATTTACTATGCTTGTTGTAAGAGGTGACTAACGGATTGGGTGGTCACTGATGGTTGGACACATGTCATCAGTTCCCACTGGCGCAGATCGATGCTCATGCTGTTGATCACCGGATTGTCTGGTCCGGTGACTGATTATTTTCAGACTGCCACCATATAGCTGGAATATTGCTGAGTGCCAGCGTAAAACTAAGCTCACTCTCTCACCTCAACAGCTTCCAGGCATAGGGATGAAGTTCGTAAAGATCTTGTACAGCAGCATACCATAGCACCGCGGTCATTGATCTACTCCTTCCCGACACAGCGGCTGCCTCGCTTTCAGCAAGTTTGAATTCAACACTGACCACCTTAACGACAACAATGCCAGTTAACAATGCATCAGACCCGAAGCAATACCGAATCTAACTGGCCTTCCAACTCGTTATGGGTGCTCAACCATTTCAACGACCACAGAGGTCCAGTTTATAGTGGCAGCATGGCCATTCCATAATTATCCGCCATGTATATAACATATTATCTTTACCTTCATGCGTAAAATACCTTAATTTCATTGGTCAGTGATGCTTTTAACAAGTTTCCGTGGTCACCCTTCAGTGGCGTGACAACTGTCAATATTACCCGCTGCCATCGCAACCTCCACGGTGTTGGGTACGCTTCTGTATATAATTGTATGATGCCAGCCATGACGACACGGACCAAAACCGCTTGAGTTTTCGGGAGTTCACTATACTATCTTTACCGAATTTCACCTTCGACATTTAAACTATTTTAGATAACGCATCAAGGTTTGCACTCTCAGCTTAAAACACATAATTAATGATTTCACTGCAGTTTTAAGTTTGTAAGAACATATTTCATCACTTTAATAATCCAGTCAAGAGTATCAGCATTTGTTTACATGCTCATATAGTGGGTAGCAAGCTTATTGATCTTCAAAATAAAAATAAAATGACAATTTTTCCTATCCTGACTAGCGCTATATTGCTTTGTCTTTTCTGCGTAACATAGTGGAACACGTATCTCCCAATTGGTTCCTTCAATTAAAAAATCTCTAATTGCGGCACTCACCTTCAATAGAAATACCTTCCACAAGGAACGAGGGCTTCACCCCACCCATATATATATGTGTGCGCTTCACTTCCTCTCCTTCTTCTTCGTTTCGGAGTTCCGGTTTCCGCCATTTTATTCACGGTTCGCCGTATTTGTTCCAGGCAGCAGTTTACGCATACGAGAATCTGCATTGTGGCAACCACGCATACCATTACTTTGCACGCCCTAGTTGCATTACCTATGTCTTCGTTGTTTCTCGTGAATTATGTTGCATACCAATTTCTGCCTTCGGATAAATATTATGTTCCTCGCTTTGGAGAGACAAGGCAGATAAATCTCGCACCAATCTTCATAGTCATGGCTAATAGATCGTAGCAATTCTGTCGTTGACGCATCACCGTACGCCGGAGTTTCTCGTGGATAAGCGGACGAAGTCCGCTATGTCCGAAGCGACCTGTATCTCAAAGACATTCCGGCTTCGCCCAAGACTAGGAAAGTCTATTCAGTACGCTTTCACAACCCCAGGTCCACAGTCATTAAAAGCGGGAAATTCCACGGAAGCACGGTTCTCCGAGACGGTAATTGTCTCTGTGAATTATAAGCGAGAAGCATGGATACATTCATTATCATTCAGATGTACGCCATAAGAACGCACCTTCAGCAACAAATGGCTACATCAATGACGCGAATCCAGATGCGTTTTACGCAGCTTCTGAGTTTATACAGAGAGGCTAATTCAACGCCAGAACAACCGGTGACGCACCTGGTTAACGTAAATCATGAGACTGATGGAGGACCGTTACTTATAGAGCCCCAGGAACACTTAATAAGTCATACAGGGCTCCTCCCAGGAGCTCGGCTCGCTGTAGGGCCCCAGAGCTCATTGGCCACAAACGCCCGCTGGCAAATCCCAGCCCTTAGCTTAATTGCTAGGGGCAAAGTCCTTATCTCAGAGCGAGCTCTATCCAGTTGCGTAGGGATATTCGAGGGTACGCCAGCCCATACACCCTGTAGAACACAGAGGTCGTTTCAAGGGCAAAAACGCTTCATAAGGCTCTATTATTCGACACTGACGATATTCTATGCATGAAGGCTAAGCGGCCCATATCTACCTTCGCCCAGAAGATTTAGAAGAGCGTTTTCAGTTTCTTCGAAGGCCTGCCCTTACACGCAGCCGCTCGTCAGTCCAATGGCTCACCAATCATGATCTTCTGCATCTGGTGAATTTGCCATAGGACCATCAGAGGAAGAAGGTGTATCATTTTCAGATGCTGAGATTAGGATAATGATGGTGAATGAGTTACAACTTCCCCATCGAAGAAATCCAGAATTAACTCAGACTTACTTCCGAAGAAGGCCGATGATAGACAATATCACCTTACTCCCTTATTGACCTGACAGCGTAAATTAGCTAACGATACAGCCTGTTCCAAATCTTCAAAGTCCAATTCACACATTTCCGGCTCAATGCCAAGAAATTTGCTGGAATACAAATATGGACCCCGCCAAAGGCCCAGGATATTGATGCATGACAACTCAGTTCGGGAATCAGCGAGCTGCTCCTAAAGTTACAAACGATCGCGAAATTCTAACCGATACCATCGCTGCGATGTTCGTCTCGGAATGAATAGATTCAGGAACGATTAACGAAACTCATCACCAAAGTCTTTCAAGAATTTTGTTAGAGGAGGAAGCAGAGATCATCGGTTCTACTTATGCAGAAAAGACCACTGAATTTCTTACATAACCCGGCATATCGCTTTTACTGACCATTACCAAGCTATAGCTTCCTGCTATTGTGGGATAAGCAATTTACAGGTTCCTCGACAGCTCCATGGTCATCGCCTCTTACTGTTTGGTGGCAACATTGACAAGGTCTCCAAAGAAGTATCAAAGACTGAGTACTCTGCGATCAGATCCATGGATACCTTTTAGCTAACGCCATTAAACAGTCAACACAGAGATACTCAGGCAGTCCCGCAGCACGAAGGCAAAACAGCTGCAGCCAAAGATCCGTATGGATTCTTTGCGTCGCCGAAGACATACAACAAATTTAGGGGATCAGCTATGATCAACCAGAGGTGCCCGTGGATTAGACGTGATGAAATAGGCTCGAACGCATCAGTCTTCTCCACCGTTCCAGTGCAACAGGACGCCAGCTGGGAAACTTGGGAATACTACAGATCCATGTATCCAACATCCCAGCTGTTAACGATATTACATATTAATACAACCCTCAAGGCTAAGCCTAACAGTCAGGGACCCCACAGGTTCAAGGCGCTCGAACCGCACAAACTACCTATGTGTTAAGAGAAACAGTACTTACTCTGCCTTCCAAAATATGGGCCTTTAGAAGTTCTGAATCAAACATCGCATTGCGGTTTCTACTCCCCAGTTTTCCTTAGTGCCGGGCTATTAAAACCCAAGGAGAAGTTTCGCTCTATACAACATGAGCATCTTCCAGAGAATATCTATGCAAAACCAACTAACGCTTTCAAGATTTACAGCCGAATCGCAACTTTTCAAAGCATTTATTCGGTCTCCAAAGATTACAGCATCGTTAATGCGATATCTTCGGCTATTATCTCCGAACCTAACTCGGTAAAATATCTAAGATTTATCCTGGGAAACATTACCAAGGTTCTTTTCCTTCAGAATCTACTCCAGCCCCTTTGGGTATTCAGCAAGAGCGGACTTCAAGCCTGTTCCATACCTACATCAAGGTGAGCTTTTTAATCAGACGTATACAAGTTGATCCGATCCACGCCTCATGGACTACAATGAACTTATAATCAAGCTACTAACACAGGATGGTTGTGGTGGTACCAAGTCGGACCTAGAACCAACGCAAAGAGGATCTTCTAGGTATACCATTTCTAACAGCTCAGAATCGGTATTGTAGTCCCTCGAGGATGGATCAAGATAACAACTCGCTCCCACTCTCTCCTCAAGCACACTACCGACAGTGGCGTAGCCCATTGGGACTACTCACACGCCTGACGACAGTCAGGAGGCAGGCTTCACAGTCCGCTATAAAGTCCTCATCAATACGCCTATCAGGACCCTCTACCATTCAGTCTAGCACCAGCATTGAGGCTCAAACTACATTCACGGTGGACCTACAGGATTGAATCAGTTTAGGCCGCGAGAGAGCCGGAATCGAACACGACATCTCACGAGATCGCCGCTAAGCCGTGGGAGTCACCTTGCCGCAGGACAGCCAGGCCTATGGAGTCATCAAGAATGTCAGCTACACCCGCCAGACGCCAGTCATAAACGCCCATGTCACTGGAGAACATACTACAGCGCTCTGTTCACACAGACACCAACAGCGGCGCTTTATAGAACAAACAAGGTTCAACACGACTGGGATGGAGCACGGTTCGATGACCGACACCCAAACAT